CTTTATAAAAAGCAAATCTTTGAGTTGGGAGGAATCTACTGGTCAGGGTAACCATGTTAAGTGCAAATTAAAAGAAAGAATATCACGACTCATTTAGTGCTAGAATAAATGTAAATGGAGGATTTCTCTATTCTGGTTAAAAAAAAGAAAAGGTAAAATATTTCATTGACACTTTGCTTTTTTGTTTGTTTTTAAAGTCAGTTGGGGCTCTTATTACAGGAAAGTGAATCTGAGTGTTGTCTTTTTGTCAGGAGACTCAAGAATTGGTATTTCATTTCATTAACCCTGTTAATGACAGAGCTGTTCCTCATTGTGTTTGTGGAGAAGCCTGAGAAGTAGCTTGGGGGTTCAGAGGTTCACCCTGCTGGGATCTAGACCGCAAGTGTAACTCCTGGCAGTAGGCTTCCACCCATCGCTTCTTTGGGTTTGGCAGATCAGTGTTGTCAGGCCTTGAGAGAAGTCCCTCACTGCTTTTGACTGGGGGCTGTAGAAATTCTTGGTTTTCCTGAAGCTCAGTCCAGTTCTGTAAAAGATAATATACATAGAGTTTATTTATCCCTGTACAACTTCAGGATGGAGAATAGCTGATTCTGAATATTGTCTCCTGAAGATGCTGAAAACATGGTTTACCTAAATGTAAATGGTTTACCTAAATGCAGATTATCCTTGGTGGTCCCAGGAGGGGCAGAGCCAGGCAAAGCCCAAGCCCTGCTGCAGGTGGGGCTGTGGGAAAATTAGGCAAGCTGACAGTCTTACACTAGCCTCTTTTTTGTTGTTGTTTTCTGTTTTATTTTCTTGTTTTAGGTAAGGGGATCCAAACCTGTTGACCTTGGTATTATAGCACCATGCTCTAACCACTGAGAAAACCAGCCAGCCACACTAGCCTCTAGCTTCTTATACCTTCCTTCCTTTTTGTTAATGAAAATAACAGAGCTGGTCAGACTTTCACCACACGTGGTTGGTTCAAAGATGCACTAGGAAAAGTGTGGCGTCACGGAGGAAATATTAGACAGTTTCTACTCTTAGGGATCTAGTTAAGAAGGCAAAATACAGCTATTTGAAGCCTTCATAAAGCAATATATGTGCAAGTGCAAATCAATAGTTCAAAATGAGTTTAAATAATGAAGATACAGAGATGTGGAATGATCTCAAGGTCTGTTCAGAGATGTTCTAGAAGAGGTAAGGTGAAATGAATTTTAAAGATAGTGATAAACATGAATTGACAGATATGAGAAAGAAGGGAATTTCTTATGCAATACATCGTCTTAATTAATCAGTTTCCTTAAAGTGGGCACATTTCTGACAGGGGTACTGTAACTTGTAAATATGAGATGCATTTGCAAATGCTAATGATACTATTTGAAATGGACCTTCTGTTTTGAGTATAGGAGATCTGCTACAATGAGCTGTAATAAGATTTTTTAAATGGAAAATTACTGGCATAAATATATAAAAATAATGAATTAGTGAGATAAAATTATCCCATTTATCCGTTAATCTTAGATATCTAAATAACATTTTCCTATGGACTTTCTTTAATCATTGTTTTCCTATTTTTTCCCTTTTTGATTATTAGAAGCAAATCCAATATTGAACCTGTTTCAGATTCCATAAATTGACTCTAAATTCCATAAAAGCTCATTTTGAGCTGCAAGGACTCTTAAGTTCTAAGAGTTTAAATTAAGTGGTATTGAAATAATTTATTCCACTTTAAAAGTTTGTGTGGTTTAGGTTCTCAGAAGAGGATACAGATTTTAAGTTCTTTGAGACCAGAGATCAAGTCTTATTTGTATTTTGTAAGGCATTTAGTATACATTATACTGTCTCTAATTCTGATGGTTTTTAGTTTTTATCTTTATCAGATATTATTGATTGTCTTTTAGTTATCAGCAAGGAAACAGATGTGCAAATTTGCTATAGTAAACTTTTAAAAAGTTACATAAAATAACTATACTAAGAAATATTTCCACCTGCCAGTTTTTTCTTTTGATAAAAGAGTTATGTAGACTATCTTAGGGAAAGGCCTTGGTATGAATCTATTAAATATGTTCAGCAGAGCAGAGAAACTCCCATTGTGGTAGGTTCAGAAATCATTTTTTTTAATCTGTTCTTCAGAGGAGGAAAAATAGCTAATTTTTTAGTTTGTCAGTAAAGAGTTTTTGAATACTTTACAGCTAACCCACTGAAATTCACTTAGTCTGGGGGCAAGGAACCATTATTAGGGGATATTTGGAGATTGCCAATACTAGTATTGAACAGTTTTCGGAACCACTGAAGTCTGGAAGGTGGATCTTTACTGAGGTCTGGCTCTGCCAGGGTGTTCTCTCTGCTTCAGACAGTGCAGGGTTTAAGGTTTGCTGTGAGTCCACTAAGCTACTCCTTAACTGACTTTCACAAGTGGCTTGAGAATCTGTAAATAAATTTGAACAATATGTACGTGTTTCTTAAATCATTCAAAGAGAGTGTGTCAGTGTTGGCTAATGGAAGATTTAAGTGGGACATTAAGGGAAAGTGGCAGACCAAGATTCTTAATGTAGAGTTCATCATTTTACTTCTAAATAATGGGGTTATTAGGGGGTATTAAGTGAGATAATGAGAAGTACCTAGCTCTGGAGTATGTGCTCAATGGATTTGCCTGCTCCCCTCTTTCTTTCCTGGCAATGTTTCTGCTTAACATTTTTATAAAATTTGTTAATGGATAGCATGTATGTTTAACTTGAGCTTTTTTTTTTTTTTTTTTTTAAAGATTAGGGATTCCTAGGAAAATATTTGTACAATTTAAAATAGAATAAGAAAATGCATACTTTATTTGAGATAAAGTTGAAGCTTGTTTTCCTTGCTATGCAAACTTGTCACTTTTTTCTTTTTGCCTTTGGAAAGTTTCACATTAACAGCATGAGAACTTAAAAATACAGTTGATGTTGAAAGAGCTTAACTAAATATTTTAAATTGGTGGTATTGGAAAGAGATTCTGTAAAAAACCAATTAAACTTTTGAAAGCTCTATCCTGTTGAAATATAACTTAAAGGAAGTCAGTTTGGTTTCCCAGAAGTACTGTGCATAGTGTTTCTGGCTGAGGAAGAAAGGCCCAAGTCTGCTGTTTGGCCAGAAATTGGGTACCAGCTTCCTCTACGATGTTTTACTTGAACAGTGTTGACACTTGAACAAATCCCATAGAAACTGCCTCAAGTGGGGAATAGCCGTCCTTACTTTCATAGTAAGACTTGGCCCCAATAACTAACACTTCAAACACTGGTAGTATTCTTGGCTGAATAATCTATAGATGTGCATAAATTGAGAGCAAAACCCCAAATGTTTTAGGAACTTTAATGGCTACCGTATTTCAACCAATCAGTAAAGTAAACTTTTAAAAATATTGGTGCAGTTTATTGCTTCGCAGCCAATAAAAATAGTGAACAAAAAGAGTCTAGTGTCCCTTGTTTCTTAAATAAACTCTGAAAATTCAGTTCTCCTGTATTTAATTATTAAATTCAAAAGACTAGAATGCTTTCTTTTAAAATTGGGACACTTTAGGAATTCTTTTCCTTGCCCCTAACATCAGAAATAACTTTCTGTTTCCATTAAATGATAGTATTCAATCAATATGTTTGTTTCTGTGATTTAAGAAATACTTCTGTGCAAAATTATTTTTTTTGTTTTATTTACATCTACAAACATAATAGCTACATTTACTACTGGTATTAAAATGTTTCTTTGTGTCAAATAGATTTTTTATAAATGTAAGGGAAAGAAAAGCAATTTATTATGTTGCTTAAAAGCTTTGAGTGTATTAGGTTAAATTCCTAGTTAGAATTTCCTATGGGGGGTAGAGGAGAAGACTTCCAGAATGAAGTGTGCACTTTTAAAATGGAGTGAAAGGAACTAAAAGAATTAAAATTAATTAAAAAAATTTTTTTGAAAGTCTGTCTTGGGTTGGAGCCAGAAGAGAGGAGAGTAGCAAGGTAACTTGGGGATGTGTCCCAAAGGTATATTTTACACACATAAGCCCCATGAGGCTGGACATTTTTTTTTGGTTCACTGGTGTATCCCAAGCATTCAGGACAGTACATGGCCTATAATAGACATTTGGCAAATTGTTTATGGAATGAATTTTGATAATTTTTTTGGTCCAGTACTTGACAAAGAAAAGTTAAATGCGCATATCAGCAAATGTTAGCATTGTTAGTTATTTCATGGTCTGACTCTTACCAATGTGAAGTTATTAGTGCCTGACTTTGATCCGGGTAAGGAATTTATCAAATATCAAATGCACAGAGCTTTGAAACCAACTTTACAATTTTTCTGACTTTGGTTTGTTTCAATCTGAAAAGAAAGTGAGTATGCACGTGTGTGCAAGCGAGAATCTCAAAGAGCAAATGCCCTACTAGTTCATTTTGGAGACCATGTGTTCGAGGGAACTGGTCTCTGTGCTGGAAGCTTCACTCTGGCTAATTTAGAAACATCTAGGACCAGTTTTGAATTAAAGATCATAATTGTAGTACATGAAATTGATTGTGTAGGTGATCTGTGCAGCTTCCTCATGAGTGGCCCCCGCATTTTTTCCCTCCCCACCCATCTTATAGCCATTAGTCCTATAATAATTTGGTTTGGGTTTGTTGATGTAGAAACTGTATTCACACAATATGATAAAGCCACTGAAGTTCATCTAGTCCTGTGATGGATTCATTTGTGCAGGAGAACAGAAAAATAAGACCACTGCTTCATTTAGCATTTGTCTAAAATTTGCCATTCTTCAGTTCTTCAACGGCACCCAAAATGCTTAGTTCTTTCTGTATAATTAGAGGTTAAATACCATTCTATGAAGCCACTCTCCTGTAGATGACTTTGAGGGGATTTAATATTTATTTCATTCATAGTGGAACTCACGAGCTTTCCTTCCCTGCCTGGCCCATGATTTGCAAACAGTTCCAATCTCAGGTGGTCCTCTGCGATGTCTGTCTCCGAGCAGACCACCTCACCTCCTTTGTTCGTTGTCACAGGTGAAAAGCCGTACAAGTGCACCTGGGAAGGCTGCGACTGGAGGTTTGCACGCTCGGACGAGCTGACCCGCCACTACCGGAAGCACACGGGCGCCAAGCCGTTCCAGTGCGGGGTGTGCAACCGCAGCTTCTCGCGCTCCGACCACCTGGCCCTGCACATGAAGAGGCACCAGAACTGAGCTGCCGCCCGTGCACCTGACTCCGGCGCTCCGCACGCCATCGGGCAGCCTTTTAAACCACAAACTTAACTCTTCATATAAAAAAAGAAAAAGAAAACAAAAAACTGGAAATGTATATTTTGTATATTTAAGAAAACAGGGAATACATTGTATTAATACCAAAGTGTTTGGTCGTTTTCAGAATCTGGAATGCTTGCTGTAATGTATACGGCTTTACTCAAGCAGATTTCATCTCATGACAGGCAGCCACATCTCAGCGTGGGTCAGGGATGGGGTGGAGGGTGCGTGTGCGGGGTTTTTACCTAGGCACCATCATTTAATGTGACAGTGTTTAGTAAACAGATCGGTTGGCAGGCACTGGAAGAAGGGTGGATTGTATGTCAAGATTTTACTTGACTTGGAGGTAGTTTCTTTCAATATTAGATAATTCCTTGGAGGAGGTATCACAGTGTACCTGACAATTCACAAATAGCCATTGAACAAATGTGTGGTTTTTGTTTTTTTTTATATGAGTTGCCTATATTTGCTATTGAAAATTTTGTAAATATGCAAATCAGCTTTATAGGTTTATTACAAGTTTTTTAGGATTCTTTTGGGAAAAAATGATGATTCTTTTGAAAATAACCATGAATACATTTACAGTTAGAATTTGTGGTAAGATACCTCTCAATGTTAACCAAATTCATTTATTTAGGGGGGAGGAATAATCATACAAATGAACTTTAAAAGCAAATTTCGTGCACTGATTAAAATAGGATTGTTTATTTTAAATACAAAAGACATTTTATATGAATTGTAAACTGAAGAGCTTAAAGATAGTTACAATATACAAAAGTTAAACCTCTTACAATAAGCTAAAGACAGTATCATTTTTTAAAAGAAGGACTTATGTTGTTTTCACACAGCAATGTTGAATTTATGATGCAGTTTTCATGTACGGAAACGTTGAATTTATGATGCAGTTTTCATATATCGAGATGTTTGCTTGTGCAGTACTGTTGGTTTAATGACAATTTATGTGGATTTTGCATGTAATATACAGTGAGACACAGTAATTTTATCTAAATTACAGTGCAGTTTAGTTAATCTATTGTTAATAATGACTCAGTGTCTGCCTTTAAATATAAATGATATGTTGAAAACTTAAAGAAGCAAGTGCTACATATATGCAATATAAAATAGTAATGTGATGCTGATGCTGTTAACCAAAGGGCAGAATAAATAAGCAAAATGCCAAAAGGGGTCTTAATTGAAATGAAAATTTAATTTTGTTTTTAAGATATTGTTTATCTTTATTTATTTTGTGGTAATATAGTAAGTTTTTTTAGAAAACAATTTTCATAACTTGATAAATTATAGTTTTGTTTGTTAGAAAAGTTGCTCTTAAAATGTGTAAATAGATGACAAACGGTGTAAATAATTTTGTAAGAGGCTTCAAAATGTTTATACGTGGAAACATACCTACATAAAAAGCATAAATCGGTTGCTGTTTTGCTTCTTTTTCCCTCTTATTTTTGTATTGTGGTCATTTCCTATGCAAATAATGGAGCAAACAGCTGTATAGTTGTAGAATTTTTTGAGAGAATGAGATGTTTATATATTAACGACAATTTTTTTTTGGAAAATAAAAAGTGCCTAAAAGATTCATGTCGTGACTTTGTTTACCCACAATAGCAAGAATAATTGGCAAATTCCATTCCCAAATCTAGTTATTTAAAGGGGTCTGATCAGGGCAGTTAATGAAAAACCAATTTCTAGGCATTCTTAGAAGAGCCACATTGAACCAATACCTACACTGAACATAAGAGAGAGATTCATTTTTAAAATATAATTGGTAGTATAAAGGGAGGCATAGGTTGGCCTGTTAGCTTAGCTGGTATTGTTATAACACTGAGGTCAAGGGTCAGATCCTTGTATGGGCCTCCTGCAAAAAATCAAAGGAAGGCATAATTCATGGATACTTATTTTTTCTGGCCACTACACACATACTGTATTAACACTTCAACATCAGTAGTTGAAAACACTATAGAGTTAACTTGCATGTGCTCCTTTCAGTGGCAAAACAAGAGTGGAGTTTTGCTTTTTAAAACGGAAAAAGATAATTAAAAGTTGATTTTATCCAGTAGCAACAAGCGCACCTAGATCTTGGTTTCTAATACCATTTTCCAATAAAAAGAACTGGGGCTCCTTAGAGAAATGGCTGATTCTTAGGACTGAGGTGGGAAATATACAAGATACGCCTAGAGCATCTTATGGTGCCAGAAAGTAAGGAAATAACTTTAAAAAAAAACAAAAGCCAACCTACAATGATCAGGATATGTCAGAGCAACCCTAAGTATAAAATATCCCTGTGTCCATACTGATGTAAGTGATTGAATAAGCAGGATTAGAGACATCTATGTGGAATAATTCCAGATAATTTTTGTAGATACTGTCCCCTCAGAGTGGAACTTAACTCTCCATTCCTCAAGTGTGGTTTGCACATAGTGACTTCCTTCCAAAGACTACTTTATGGGAAGGAGGGGAGGAAGAGAAACTTGACAGCAGAGAAATCTGTCAACACTACCTCAGCCAGGTGACCAAGGTTCACAACTCATAACTCCAGTGTAATCATGAGAAGCATCAGGCAAACCATTCTGCAAAAGACCTGGCCAATGCTCAAAACTGTCAGGCTATAAAAAACAAGAAAATCTGAAGCCGTCATAGCCCAGAGAAGCTTAAGGAGACATGATGACCAAATATAATGTAGTAACCTGGATGGAACCCTGGAACAGGAAAAGGACATCAGGGAAAAACTGAGGAAATCTGAATAAAGTATGAAATTTAGTAAATGTATCAATATTGGTCCATTAATTGTGACAAATGTATCCTACTATGTATAAACTGTTAATAATAGAAGCTGGGGGTGGGGATACAGAAATTCTATTATCTTCACAATAATCCCCTAAATCTAAAACTTCTAAAATAAAATCTTTAGAAAAGTAAATAAAAATCAGTATCACTATTAGAAAGGTACTTCCAAAAGCTCATGGAAAGACTCATATTATCTTTCAACTCTATTTTCCCCTGAGCTTTCTGAAGTGCACTGGCACATTGTCACAGTCAGTGAGGCCGGGGCAGGGCCCCTGCTGTTCTCCGAGATACAGTGTAAGTTGCCCTCACGTCATCGGGCATCACAGGTTTACTCAGCCTCGCCATTATTTGACTTCTCTTTCCAGTCATCCACGTGACATGTCGCTCAGGAGTCCTGCGCACTTGCGCCCCAGCCTGAACTGCTCATGCTTTCATGGGGGAAACACTTGAGACTCTCTTTGGCTGACATTTATTCCTACAAATTGAAACAAAAAAGCGAGGCTACAGGCTTTTTGAAGCAAAGACAATTCCTTACTCTAAAACATGAATCAGAGATGTTTCAGTAATCAGTTTTTTTTTTTTTTTTTGATTGCCATGTTCATTACCTTTATTGTAATGATTTCATGGGTGTATACATATGTCAAACCTTATCAAATTTATACTTTAAATATGTGAAGCTTAGCAATTATGTTAATTGATATATACCTTGGATGTCTCAGTAATCAGTTTTAATTGTGAATTGTGTAAAGTCCGTTTTCTTGTGAGTTCAAACCTCCACTCTCGCTTTGGTTCCCAGCACTGAATTGTGTTCCGCTTCCTAACACTTGAATACCATTTTACCTCAGGTCATAGAGAGCAGCTGTTTCCATCTCTCATTTCTCTATCCTTCTTCCCCTTTTGTAGGCTGCGCTTTCTCCTCCTCTCTTGCCACTACCTGTTCAAATCCTTATATCTGCCAAAGCTCAGTTTAGACCTTCAGTCTTCATCAATCACACTCACTGGAACTTTTTTGTATTTGGTGACATTATTTACATTTCAGCATTTGAATTATTTTTCCAATTTTTATTGGAAATCATATATATTTCTCTTCCTTAGATTGTCAACTCTGTGAAAGAAACACTTTTTATTTACTTATTTATTTATTTTTACTTTTATTATTTTTTTTAAGATGACCGGTAAGGGGATCTTAACCCTTTGACTTGGTGTTGTCAGTACCACGCTCTCTCAAGTGAGCTAACCGGCCATCCCTATATAGGGATCCAAACCTGTGGCCTTGGTGTTATCAGCACCGCACTCTCCCAAGTGAGCCACAGGCCATCCCTAGAAACACTTTTTAGATTGTCTTTGTATCCCTGCTCTTATTGACTGGTAAAGGAGGTATCAAAAAAAATTACTTTCTGGTACTATGTGAATTTGCTTAAGCCACTACAGCATTGGATTGGTAAAATTAAGATTGCTGGTTTACAAAAAAAAGTGAAAATTCTGAGTTCTGTAATAAACTCTTTCAGTGATACATAGCTTTCATGTAATTTACTATACTTTTTATTTTTCTTAATAGTCACTGTTAAAAGTTATTAAATAATTTCCAGGTTTTTTTCAACTATGACTCTGGTATGAGTGATTTTTTTTTCCCCCAAGTCTTCTGTTGATTAGTTTTACACTGCAGTGAAACATCTAACCAAAGATGGAATTTGGTTAACTTCAAAGTAGAGTCCAGATTTAGTAAGGAAGAGTAAAGCCCTTCTTTGTTATGTTACAGCCCACAAGTTAATCCAAAAAGGTCTGGTGGGCTTAGTTGCAGATAGGAAAAGGAATCCAGCTAGATTTTAAAGAACATTTTTATGTAGGCAGGCCAGGTCATGCTTATCTAAGGATTCTCTAATTGGATGCCATAAAGTGATGCACTTAATGTAAACTCTAATGTAAAAATGAAATGGCAAAGTGAAGCAACACAAGATAACTTGGCAGTGGGGGGAATAAAACTTAACTAAAGATTGTTAAAACTTGGAACAGGGGCTGGCCACTTAGCTCAATTCATCAGAGTACAGCCTTTTAACTCAAGGTGACTGGTTCAGATCCCTGTACCAGCCAGGTAAAAAAAAAAAAAAAAAACTCAGAGAATTACTTATTTGTTTTTCTCTTCTTTCTTTCATTCTTTTTTAAAGATGACCGGTTAGGGGATCTTAACGCATGACTTTGTGTTGTCAGCACCATGCTCAGCCAGTGAGCGAACCGGCCATCCCTATATGGGATCCGAACCCATAGCCTTGGTGTTATCAGCACCACACTCGCCCGAGTGAGCCACGGGCCTGCCCAGAGCATTACTTATTTGAAGTCAAGTCACATAATTGCATTCTAGCCACTGGGAACCTTATGTAGTACTCAATTTTTGTCTAATTGCTGTAGCTTGTTTACAAAGAAACAGTCAAAATATGTTTGAACCCAGATACTCATTTAATGGACATAACAATGATCAGCAATTAAGTTATTTGCAGCTTTTAAAATAATGATAGGCATGGTTGTCTTTTGAAGGCCATTTTCCCTTGAGAACTCACTAATAGTGTTTAAAAATACACAACACATTACATGTTTGCTTGCATTACAATTACAGTTCCACATTCACATACCTTATCAAAAACCCGACAGAAAAGCTATATCAACAGTGCAACACAAAGAGGAAATTTAGTGCAACACTCAGTATATATATATTTATATGCATGTATATGCATACACATACACATTGAATAAGAAACTAAGAAGCTCGTATAGACTTCTAGATGATAAGTTGTACATATCTAATTTTGTAGCCTCCTAAAAACCCCACTAAAATGGAGGGCCTTTTTCATCCAAGGCATCCCTATGAAACTGTAGAGAAGAAACACCAGTGAACTTGTGGAAGCTGGAAAGAGCTAGATTTAAATGCCAACAAGCTGAGTAGAACTGAAAACAGCTAACTGCTAGGCTAGTAGTGGAGAAGGCTGGGAACTAACCTAATTCTAACCCCCCAAATAACAAAAGATCTCAGGAATTTGTGACATCAAGTACTTCTGGAAATGGAGCTAAAATAAGGTTGTTCCCTCCACCATGTGTGGACACAGTGAGAAGGTGCCATCTGTGAACTAGAACACAAGCCCTCATCATATGAGGAAACTGCTGGCATCTTGATCTTGGATTTCCCAACCTCTAGAACTTACTGCTTTTTTGATAAAGCAACCAACCTCCAAATCACTTCGCCCTGGTCAGCAAGATCTTGCTGGACAAAACTGGAAATTCTTTTGACAGACAGTAATGATGGCAGGGTCCAAATTCCTGAGTGCTGCTTTTGAAACCTCCAAAGACATGTAATGGAGCTGAGTGGTGGCATCTCTTCCTGTCCGAAGTTTCAGAAGACCTTCATCATTTTT